AAAAAAAAATTCTTTTCTCTTCTCAAAAATGATTAGTCTAAGGTCTTCTTTTGAATCATTTCCGCTCATATAATCAAAGAAAAGTTGTTTTTAGATGTTTAGAATAAACATTTCCCCACCTGATATTCGAGAACGAGTAAATACCCAAACAAGACAAATGTAAATTGTAGCTAGAACTGCGAAGATAGCAGACTTTAGTAACAACTTTTACATCCCACAGTAAACACGGAGCTTACTCTATGTCAACTGAAATCCGCAATTGAATTCTTGTTTTTGTTGTTTGAGTTATTTAACACGGAGTAAACAGCTGTTCTTTATTTGAAGAATCTATATGTGAACCTATATGATCATTGATATATGCAAATTACCAATAAATGTTTCGTTCCTTTCTTGAATCACTATGAGTAGCAGTGAAGAATAGATTGTTCAATTGTGTAGGAATTTTCTAGCTCAAACTAGAATTTAAAAAAGCGAAGAAGAAATTATCATAATGTCGTTCATCATATGAATGATCTTTTTCAAATTTCATTCTTCGCCTCGAGAAAGACGATATATCTAACTGGCAACAGTACCGACTGACACGAAAACGTAGAGAACAACTCGCAATGTGGGTAAACTCTGAATAGGATCTGCGGGTAGGTTTGCGGCAGGAGAGACACAATTCAAACTTATTTGCATTTGAACAGCTATTTCCGTTGAATTCAAGAAGCTGCCAGCTCTTAGCATTTGATTTGTACTGAAATCAAGTCTAAGAAAGCAGCGAAAATTTTGCGTGCATTTATGCCCGACGATCTCTTGGGAGAAAAAGGGTCCAAATGTCCCGATAAGATGTGAATCGACTATGGTTAGTAGAGGACGATTTGACTATCATAAAACATCAGCAATGTTGAAGGGAAGCATACGATCTACACCCGAAAATTCTCCAAATCCTTCCTTTCCATCGGAACTTTTAAATGGACGCCTTGCTATCCACATCACCACAGCTCGGAAAGTCATTTTCAACAAAAACATTTGCGAAACCCTGTTTGAAGTGTCGATCGACTAGCACGCGTGAATAAGCCACACTGTAGAACTTCACTCTGGGTGGCGAGTCAAGGGTGTGGATGCTCGGCACATAGGCAAGCAACTGATTTGCAGATGTAGAAGACATTGTTTAGCAATCTAAAACGATCACAAACCCCATCAAGATTAAGTTTTTAATGCTCAGATCGACTATAATTCAAATGGTAAAAAAAAAACTATACCCAAAAAGACAAAGCTCAAGGTTAAATAATACGGTGCGATATATGGTCAAGCTCAGTATATATCAATTCAACATTTCTTTAGATTGCAAGGTAATAAAAATGTAATAATGGAAAAAAAAACAAACCAAAATATTTTATTTGATCAACAACAGTAAGAATAACAAGATAAAACAACCAACAGACTCTGATTCAAACATAACAATCACGGTATCCGTTTGTTCAACAGATTCAT